AAACTAATTTCACCTTTGGCAAGAAGCCTGCCTTCCTGATCTCTTTGGTCAAAACAAAATTCTCTCCCTATACTTCTACAGCACTTCACAGGTTCCTAATCCCATTCCCTGAAGTGTGCTTTTTACTCAAATTGTGCCCAGGTCTGTTGTTCCCTTTGCTCTGGGGGTTTCTGGAAGGCAGGAACCAGGTCTTAATCATGATCTGCCTTAGATCCTTCAGTGACAGTCCATTACATTTGGATGAAATTCAAAATCCTTGCTGGCTCTATGACCTTGGGCAAGTTGCTTGGCCTATCTGGTCCTTAGTTTCCCCCTGTGTAAATAAAATGGGAAGTAACAGTCAGCCCTCCATATACATGGTTTCTGGATCTGTGGATTCAACCAACTGTGGATTGAAAATATTCCAAAAAAAAAAAAGATAGTTGTATCTGTACTGAACATGTTCAGACTTTTTTTTCCTTGTCATTATTCTCTAAACAATAGAGTATAACTATTCACATAGCATGTACCCTATATTAAGTATTATAAATAATCTAGAGGTGATTTAAAATATATAGGAGGATATACATAAGTTATATGCAAAAACTATACCATTTTTATATTAAAGACTTGAACATCCACAAATTATGATATCTGATATTCTCACAGTACCTGATACCAAATAAATGTTAACTGTTATCATGTTTATTACATCAACACCACAGCCTTGTCCAGTCTGGCCCCAGCCTCTCCCTCCTGCCATCATTTGCGTTTGCTCACTAGCCTCAGAACCTATGGGTTTTCTTCTAAACTTCCAACCCACCAAGCACTCTCCAGCATCAGGAGGTGTTTCTTCCACCTGAAATCCTCTCTTGTATACTCTTCACCTGACTAAGTTCTCTTCTCCTTCAAGTCCCAGCTGAAACATCACTTCCTGAGAGAGGCCTTCCTTAACCCACCAGTTTAAATAAGGTCTCTTTACTATATGTTCATCCTGCACAACTTGGTTATATCATAAATTGTAATTGCATATGTGTGTATGTATGTATCTGACCATGGTTCAGTGTCTATTTCCCCACCCAACTGTATATGCCATCTTGTCTTCCTTGTTCTGTCTCCAGCTCCAGGCATGTTGTAGATGCTCACTAAATTTAGCTTGACTGGCTGAATAAATGAATGGACCAAGTACAGTTCATATAGCAGGGACTCAATCAATGTTTTAATTTTGAATTAACCCTAGACCTGCCAAAGTAAAAGCACTCAGACTTGGGCTTCAAAGGTGGGAACATGAATTCACAGAGATAACACCTAAACATATAACAAAAAAAAACACTCTGTGTAAGTACAGTAGAAGACAAGAATAAAATTGTTCATAGATGTGCTCTTCACAATAGCCAAAACCTAGAAACAGCCCAATATCCAGTAACAGGAGAATGAATAACTGTGGTAGAGTCACCAAATGGAATATTATATTAATACAATCCTCAAAATGAACTGCAAGCTATACATAGCAACAATATGAATCTTAGTAATACTTAAGTAATATTAAGTAAAAATAAGCCACCAAAAATTATATACACCAGTATTCCCTCATAATAAGGTAAAAAAATAACTAAAGTTTTAAAAGTCTAATAAATTGTCAGGGATACAAATAGCTAAGTAAATAAAAGGAAAACAAGAGAATGATGGATACCTTGGGAGCGGCATGGATGGACCATGTAAGCTAGACTGAAGTCATTGCCAAGGTCCTAGTTTTCATGTTGATGAGTTCTTATGACAGAATTATAAGTAAATAAATGTGCGTTTTGCATGGAGCAATGCTGAGAATGTTTCATGAACCAAGGTTATTATTAATCTAGTTCTGTGCACGTGAGGTCCATTGAAGGCAAGGGAGAGAAATTATGCCTACCTCTTCCAGGCAGCCTTACTTATTGGCAGTGATGGAGAAAAGATCCTTTTCTCCCAAGGCTCTCTGGGACTTTTCTCCAGGGACTGTCCCTAAGTTCTCCTGCTGGAGAAGTGAACTGGTGGCCTAGAGGTGGGGCAGTAGGGAGAGAAGTAATCCAAGATTTAGCTACCTCAGGAAATGAGATCTGGAATTGGTGGGAAAATAGCCCCTTCCCAATCAGCTTCACCTCTCCCAGGCTAAGAGCTGCAGAGTATGTAGTCTCCCCGTCAGTTCATCTATGGCCTCGATGGGTGGGAGCCAGAGGGGGCTCCTGAGAGAATGAGACAGTGCCACAAAGATGACAGTTACAGTCAATATAAACACTCTGGGTATTGGGAGCTGGAGCCAGCAGGGGTAAAAACCAGCATCTTTGAAATCCAGCCTGCATCTAGGGGGCCACTGACTCAAAACATTTTTTTTTTTTTTTTTTTGAGACAGAGTCTCGCTTTGTTGCCTAGGCTAGAGTGAGTGCCGTGGCGTCAGCCTAGCTCACAGCAACCTCAAACTCCTGGGCTCGAGTGATCCTTCTGCCTCAGCCTCCCAGGTAGCTGGGACTACAGGCATGTGCCACCATGCCCGGCTAATTTTTTTATATATATATCAGTTGGCCAATTAATTTCTTTCTATTTATAGTAGAGACGGGGTCTCGCTCTTGCTCAGGCTGGTTTTGAACTCCTGACCTTGAGCAATCCGCCCGCCTCGGCCTCCCAAGAGCTAGGATTACAGGCGTGAGCCACAGCGCCCGGCCCAAAACATTTTTTTATGCGTTCCCTTCCTTTCACTCTGGCCCAGAGCACAGCTGGGCCTTTCTCATCTCCCTGGCTTTTCCGCCCTTCATCACCCAGGCTATAGTTCCTAATCCCTTACCCTCTCCTTTACTTCTGCCAATTCCCAAGAAAGTCCCTACTTTGTGAAAAAGGGATTGGGGGAGGCCCTGGGAAGGCAGCTTAGAGTTTCTCACCTTAGGAAAAGGGGCTTGAGATCAGACCGAACTGGGCTGGGCTGCGTGGCTGCAGTGCTACTTTGGAGAAGGGGTTAGAAGTCAGACTGGACTGGGCTAAAGGTATACAAAAAGGGCTGGAGCTTGTGCTGGACTAGAGTAGGGTCCTAGGAAAGGGGCTGGAACTCGGGCTAGATCAGACTGGGTGAGGAATCGTGGGGGAGGAACTGGAGTCAGGCTGAACTGGGGGTCTGGGAGAAGGCACAGAGGTTTGGGGTTGGGGTTGGGTTCAGGAGCCCTGGCTGGGGTACATGGTCAGGCTGAGACAAGGTCTTCAGCAGCATGCTAGGGCTTGGGACAGGGTCCATATCTGTACCTCAAAACAAAGGGCATGAGGGCCTTGGAGGGCCTCTCCTCTCCCCTACCTCAGCAATTCCTCTTCACTAGGGGCCTTCCCCAGAGGGGATGCTGGGGGCAAGTGGGGAAGAGCTAGGTCTAGGGCTCCAGAAGGCACAGTCCAGGCCTGGCAATCTACCTATTATTCCCTTGACCACTGTCCCCTTCCCCCTACCTCCATAAACACACACAAAAAGAGGTGAACTTGCAAATGCCCAACCCAGCCACACAACTACTGGCCCAGTAACCCCATAACCCAACACAGTCACGCTGCCAAACCACACTAACAACACATCCTCTTCTGTGTACTCACAGCCTCCACTCATCCAGCAGTCCTGCCTTCTCTGCCTTGTTCGACACCATAGCCCCAGCACCTAGAATGGGCCTGGCACCTGCAGAGGGCTCAATGAATACTAGCAGAATGAATGAATTCACCAACGGACACATAGTAATACATAAGTACATGCATATAGATGCCCACATGCATACTCACACACATATATACTCCCTTTACATACACACACACAGATCCAGGTCACCTCCCAGCTTAGCAGTCACATACATACACACACTGACACACGCCCAGGCTAAAAGGCCAGATGTACACCCGGTGCCAGAAACAGACCCACTGCAGCTCACTGTAAGGGTGAGCTGATGGTGACAGCTGGCCAGGAAATGTCCTTCAGTCAGGCTAGCCCTACAGAGGAGCAGTTGAGCGAGGGGTTCAAGTGCAGTCCTGGGGTCCTGAGGCGGCCAAGGTAACTATGTAGGCTGGAGATGGGTAGGGCAGGCCACGTAGTCCTTTCATCTGGTGTCTTCCTGCCAGCTGGGAGGTGAGAGTGAGTTGCAGGTCTATTGGGCTTTACTTCAGATCCAGAAAGGACTTAGTGGGGGAATGTTTTGAGGCCTCAGTTTTCCCTCCTAAGATGAAAATGAAGGACACTCGGTAGGGGGCTTTATGGGAGTTAAGACCTCATCTTCAACCCACAGGAGGGTCTCTCTATCTTGCCAATATTTAATGGTAGGGAGGAAGGGACGTGGAGAGTAACCACCGGGGGAGGAGTCTGCAAAGTGCCCTATTTCTCCTTCCATCTATTCATGGAGCTTTAGGCTGGCCCCTAGCAACAGAGTTTAGGCACCCTCCTCCCTCAGCGCCCCCACCCAAAGTCAGCAAGGAAACAAATAATTCTGCTACTCTCTTAATCCTCCACCCAGAGACCTTAGTACCAGGAGAGACTGGATCTCAGCGGAGCTGGTAGGCTGGGGGCCTGGTAGGGGTAGGAATCTCACTGATAAAAAAATGAGGAGTCTCCCAGACACTCTCCAAGATCCTCTAACCCAAGCCCCATCCTAGCCAAGGATCCCTTCCTCCTCCCCTCCCTTAAAAGCCAAATTCCAGGGTTGTTTATCCCAGGAACCTCAAAAGAGAGCCACCTGTCTGGCAGCCCCAGACAGCTAAGGGTGAGAAGCAACAGTCCCAGTCCTGGGGTGGGGAGGCGAAGAGACTGAGAAAGCCAAGTCTCCTTCAATTTTTGAGGGAGATGGGGCCAGGCTGACACATTTTAGGGTCTCGGGAGGAAGATATGACTCAGGGAAAAAAACCTTCAAGAGGGGAAATGTGAGAGGGGTCCAATTCATACCCCCTCCCCAGTGACTTGTCTTAGGAACTGCAAGAACAGGGAAAAGATTGCCTTGGACCGAGTCATTATTAGGCATCAATGACCAACCAGGACACTCTCAAACCAAAAAGTCTCTTTATTGATCGGTACCATACATGACTCAATTGGCCAAAAAAAAAAAAAAAAAAAAAAAAAAGGCATTACAGTTGGTTGGGGTGGGTCATCCACCCTCCTCACCCCTTCCCCTCAGCTCCTGACACAATACCCTTCCAAAAGTGTGGCAGCTGGAGTGGAGGAAACAGGGTGTGGGGGACCCCAGAATCCAAGGGGAAGAGTAGGGAGAGAAGTGGTACTAACAGTTCCTGGGACTGGCCACAGGAAAAGGCAGCAAAGCCACAGAGCTCAGCCTAGCCTCACAGGACTCTGCTCCTGGCTGTACCCTGGCCCTAAGCCTCCATATGTCCAACTGTGAAGTCGAGCTGAGGATCTTGGCTGCCGCCTCCTCCTACCTTCTACAAGGAAGGAGAAAGAGGAGATATTGGGAGATGAAGACCCTCTACCTCAGCAGGGGGAACAGAGGCCTATTTCTCCCTGGTGGGCTTATAGCTGAGACATCCTCAGTGGCTCCTTCCCCTCTCTGGAGGGCAGGGTGGGACTAAATATGAAGCTTGAGGGGTTGGGGGAAGAGTGTTCTGGAGGAGAGTGGATGAGCCCCTCTCCCATCCCATGCCTGCCCAACTGAGACAAAATAAAAAAATGCAGCAACAAGGCTGCTCCCTTCCTTCCACACTCCCTACAGGAGGAAGCCTTGCCCTCCCCCATCCAAGACAGCTGCTCTAGTGGAGGACTTGTAAAGAATATACACACCACAGGTGGGGGCAGGGCTGGGACAGAGGGAGTCACAAGCACTAGGAGGGCAGGCTGGAGTCCAGAGGATGGGCAGAAACAATAGTAGGGGGCTGTCACAAAGATGTGGCCATCATGGCCCCCCTACCCCATGGTATGCCTTTCCCAACTCTAGTCACCAGAGAGGAAAGGGGAAGAGAGATAGCAAAGTTGTCTTCTTGGTCTGAAGCTCTCAAACAGTATAAAATGGTATGCATATCCCCTTGCCCCCACTCTCACTCCCACCTGGGCCCAGGGGCCCTCCATCTGCCAGGAGTAGGGAGGTAGCTGGGCTTTTAATAGAGGGAAGAGGGGGGACATGAGTGACTTTTTTTTAAACTTACATTTTTAATAATATTATTTTTTAAAAAAACTTGGAGCCAGGATAAGTAGCAGAAGGGAGAAGGAGCCCAGAACTTTACCCCTCTACTACAGTCACCTAGGGAGAGAGGCATTTGACCAAGCCCCATAACTTTAAGTCCCTAAGGGCTGTGGGTACAAACAACCCCAAGCTTGAAAGGGGTAAAGTCAGGAGGATGGGGAACCCAGAATCTGGGGTGAGGATGGAGGCAAATGCCCTGGGGGGTGGTCAGGACATTTCTCAGAGACCCAGGGTCCATGTAGGCATCCACATGAGTATCCCCTTCCCCCAAAAGGCTCTGCAGGGGCCAGGCCCAGTCCAGGGCCACTGAGGGGCAAATCTTGGCACCTGCCCCCAGTGAGTCCGGTTCCTCCCTGAAGTGGGTGGATGGAGTCTGCCCATTTTAGATGCTCAGTCTCTGCATTCTATCTTCTGCTCCCTGGGGCTGCAAGGGGTGGGGCAGGAAGAACGCTGGGTGGCCATGGCAGGGCCTTTACTGGGAGGCCTGTGACGTGGGGTTCTCCGATTTGCTTTCTTGGCTGGATGGAGGCTTGCTGTTCCAGGGGCTGTTGGCGCCCAGTGCAGGGGAGTTGTTAAAGCTGTCCTCGTCGTCAATGCCGTTGGCCGCGTCAAACTGGGTGTTCTCCAGCCGGGTGATGAGCCTCTCGTCCTCGTCCCCGAACTCCCCGCCCATCAGGGTGGGCTCCCCCACCACCATCACATCCTGAGAGTGGCGGAGGTCCCCAAACATAATCGGGGCAGGGGCTCGCCCGGCCCAGGGCAGCAGATACCCCCAAAGCCCCAATACCAACCCTGGAAGCTCAATAGCCCCAACCCCCTCCTCAGACCCAAATTTAAAACCCCGCTCCTTTGACACCCTCAGCTCCTGGAATCCTTCCCACTGAAGGACACCAGAGCATCATAGCCTTTAGCCCATATCCATTAAATTCTGGGAGGAGAAGTCAGTCTACTGCCCTAGCTCTCTAGTCCATCTCCCCAAAATTTTAGGGTGTTCCTAAACTTCTGTCCACATGTAAGACAAGAAACAGATCAAAAACACAAGGGAGGGAAGTGTGTACATGTGTATGTGTATGTATTCTAGATCCATAAACATTCAAGTCTGTGTGTCCTCTATCAGAGTGTGTGTCTTTCTGATGGTCTGTGTACCCCAAACTGTCCGTCCTGAACGTCCGTATGTTCTCTTGGTCGTCTCTGCCTCATGCTCTAACTTCCTATGCTGAGTCTGCGTGATCACACTATGTGTGTGCCTGACAAGAACTCTCTCATCAGTGATAGGAGTCAGCCCATGCTGGCAGAGTACATGGGGAAAACTGCCTTTGCTTCTATACCTGCTAGTGAGCTCAGGCTTGGACAAGGGTCAAGGGTGAGTGGTAGGGCAGCCCAGAAGAGAGAAGAAAGCCGAGATGCTTACAGGTACCTGGCTGGAGAGGGCGAAGGTGCTGGCTGGGCTCTTCTTCTTGCTGTTGCTATTGTTGGTATTGCCGCCCCCCGAGCTCATGGTGCTGCCCCCTGACATCTTCCGTTTCCGCCGTTTGCTAGGCTGCTGCCGTGCGGGCTCCGCTGTGTCAGGGAAAGGAGACTCAGGTGGGAGAGGGCCCTGGGTCCCCTAGTCTCCATTCTGGCCCCTAAGAAGCATGAGCCTACCCTGATCCCAATCTTGCATACCCAGGAACAAGGAAGGGGCAGGGGGAACTTCACAAGGAGACAAAGATACAGCCTTGGGGAGTGGTGTCAGGTCCTGGTAAGAGAAAGTGCAAGGCACTCACCGGGGGGTGCTACCATACGCTGCCACTTCTGGAAAAGGCAAGTCTTGAGGCAGTCGCGGGGGCTGAGGCTGTAGGTCTTGTGGCGGGACATGAGCTCCTGCATGGGCTCAAGTATCACACAGAGCTGAGGGCAGACCAGGAGGTGGCTTGTTAGGGAAGAGACACAGAGCTGAGACCACATGGGATGGGGCAGAAAATGGGTAACTGGAGACTCACTCGGAGGTAGTTAAGAGTGGAATTGGACAGCCCACACCGGGTGATGTTTTTAGAGAGCTGATCCAACATCTGGGGGTCCTGGGCCTAGAGAGGGAGAAACGACAAGAACAGTGACACCTGGGTTGCCTCTGCTCACTTGCGCTATCATCTGAGCATGATGATACTCCTAACAGAGAAGTGGGGTTAGTATGAAACCCATTTTTCAGATGAAGAAATCCTAACCTTCTGTTTAAGGTCACAGTCAAGAAATGGCAGACCTCATTCCACCCTTCCCACTGCCTGCCTTAACCGTCGCATCCTGGGTCCTGCCCACAACTCACGTGCATGGCAAGGATGCTGCGGGGGATGAGCTCTCGGTGCTGCCGAATGCTGAAGTGCCATGTCTTTATCCGCATCATGTCGTCAAACATGAACTCCAAGTACAAGCGGCCCTCCACACACACCTGGGGACAGGCTTGTCACAACCCTGCCCTCTCCCCATATGCCATACCTCAAAGTGTGCCTGTTACAGTCCTCCCTTTTGCTCACAACTCTCCCACTGCATATACTTTTGCCACCCGCACATAACTGTGCATAATTGTCATAGCACTCCCTGACTCCATATACCTGTCACATCCCTGGCCTTTAAAACACACACATAGAAAAGCTTAACAGACCTATGTCCCCTCCCCATGTAGCTAGTGATACACCCATCTGCTATAAGCTCTATGAGGACAGGCTCTTCTTTTTTTTTCTGAGACAGAGTCTCACTTTGTTGTCCAGGCTAGAGTGAGTACCATGGCGTCAGCCTAGCTCACGGCAACCTCAAACTCCTGGGCTCAAGCAATCCTCCTGCCTCAGCCTCCTGAGTAGCTGGCACTACAGGCATGTGCCACCATGCCCAGCTAATTTTTTCTATATATATATTAGCTGGTCAATTAATTTCTTTCTATTTATAGAGATGGGGTCTCGCTCTTGCTGGTTTCGAACCCCTGACTTTGAGCAATCCACCCACCTCGGCCTCCCAGAGTGCTAGGATTATAGGCGTGAGCCACCACGCCCGGCCGAGGACAGGCTCTTATTCACTTGTGTATCCCTGAGGCCCAGAAAACTGTCACATACAAAATCAATAAACGTTTAGCTGGATGTTGCAGCATGGGGGCTCTCCCTTCTTATTTTGCCACTTCCCATTTTGCCTTCCTGGGGAACAGCTGTGAGTACATGTTGGGACAGAGGAAGGGAATCAAACACAGGTGCCTCAGTATTCCACATCCAGCTGGGTTGCTGACCTGGGTGAACATGGGCTTGCCATGCTGGGTCACCATGCTGCCCTGGTCACAGTCGAGGGACACAAAGTTGCTGTGGAATGCCTCCTTGGGGTGCTTAAGCACATAGTAGAGCTCTGTAGCACCCCCCTCAAAGATGCTGCGGAAGTAGCGTGGGATCAGGGTCCGGCCAATGGCTGTAGAGATGGGACAAACTTCAGGACAGAAGGACCACAAAAGAGGCCACGCAGACGCCTCCCCTGCCAAGAGAGATCCCTTGGCACTTCCAGACCTTAGAACTATACAGGAGGCATATACTCTCACACCAGGGCCCCCAGAAGCCACTCACTATATCTCTTTGGTCCATCCTCCAGGCAGAAAGTGATGGTCAACATGGCATCATCCTCAAAGAACTCAGTCGTGAAAGCATCCCACCAGAGATTGTCACACTCCTAGGGAAGACAGGGAGGTCTGTGTTTATGTACCACAAGATATCCCAAAGGGGTGCCCAGATAGCCCTCCGGCTTCCAGCCCCTTTTCCCTTGGCCATACCTCTGTCCAGTTCTGAAGCCGTTTGTTAAGCTCAAATATTCTGTAGTCAGTTTGGTTGCCATATGGTGTGTGCCTCCTGGAGGAAGTGAAGGAAGGAGGTCACTAGAAGCAGAGTCTCCTCCCTCCCCCCAACTCTGCCTTCACCCAATAGAAAGCACCTTCCTCCCCACTGGACTCAACTTACCCAATCCCAGGCTCCAGGTATGTAGGCGGGTACATGGGAGTTGGGCTGTGTAAGGGAAGAGGCCATGAGAATGGGGGTGGAAGTCAGGAATTATTTAGGGAGGGGTCACTCCCTCCCGTTTCCAGGCAGGATCCCACCTGGAGAAGGGTTAGGACATAGCAAGAGACTCACCCCACATCCCGATCCAGCATGGTGCCGGGATGGAAGGGGGGGAAGGCGTTGCCGTTCGGGGGCTCCTTCGGCGAGTACAGTTTGAATGACTTTGAGGAACAACCTAGGAGAGAAAGAAAGGCTCTCTCTGAACCCCTGTTGGGAGCTCTCCTAGAAGTCTGCTAGACTGTGAGGACAGGGACTGGTCTTATGGAGCCCCCTGGCCTGACTGCAACAAGAGAGTGGTGGACTGGGGAGGGGCTAGGGAGCACCTATCTCCCCTTCTAAATTTGGCTCCAATCTCATTTGATTAAGAAACTAGGAGTTCTCAGCCCTAATCTCAGCCCATACCCAAGTCTCCACTTCTTAACTTGGCCGAGCCCTGGATGACAGAAGAGGAATTAAATCTGGGAAGAAATGTCAATATTATAGATAAATAAATATCCAAACTTAAAATCTAATTTTATAAACTCCCTTTTTACATAGTTTCATTCCATCATAACAACCTTGTGAGGCAGCAGGGTTGACCATAACACTCCCATTTTACAGAGAAGGCAACTGAGGGTTCAAAGGAACTTGCCAATATCATATAAAGCTAGTAACTGGCAGAGCCAGCACTTGAGCTCAGATCTTCTAATTCCCACATCCTAACACTATTTCTACCATCTGACCCCTCTATTGCCCTCTAGAGACCAAGGTGGGGGAGGGGAAAGGGGGATTTTGTGAACTCTATGCCCCTCCTCCACCCCAGGGTCTCAGGAGAGCAGGGGGTAGAAAGATAAAGGGGGGTGGGTGCCTGTTGGGTGCAACCCACCAGATAACCAGTTGGACCTTCTGCCTCCCCACCAACGGCCACTCCCTTATCAGCCCAGCCCCCACATGCACCATGAGTAGAGTATTGTCTCCAAACCAGAAACCCAAAGCTTCAACCCCTTTTCTCTTCTGAGACTTGCAGTGGGAAAGGGAAGTAGATGAACCTCCACTGGATCCTACTCTACTTACAAACAGAAAATAGGGGGCCCAGCAAGGAGGCTATGTTCTAGGGGGCTCAGTCTAGGAGGCAAGTGGTAACTAGACAGGAGTCTCTGTTGTATGTCTGCATGTGTCCCCTCTTCTACCTCCTCTAGCAGCATACAGTTCCTGGCATACCATTTCCTGACTGGAAGAAGTGCAAAATTCAGAGTTGGGTATGAGCCAGGTATCCCTGCAACTCTATGTTTCCCTTCCCCACAAGATAGGAGGGGAAACTGAGGCATAGCCTTTAAGATTCTGACTCCAACCATATTCACTTCCTTAGGTCCCCAAACTTGATTACATTCGAAAGGGTAATTATATTGGCTACATCTGAGCCCCCTCCCCAATTTAGATACAAAATCTATTTTGTTCCTTGGGGGAAAGAGACAAAAGAAGACCCTGTGCCAACATGTGTCATTTAATTCTCTCCCCAGGGCCCCCTCCAATGTAGGCAAAAGGAGGGTCCCAGAGGGGCCCAGACTACACAGTCCTGGAAGGTGCCAAGAGCCAGAGCCAGTGTGTGCCTGCACACACGTGTGCCCCATCCTGCCTAGCAGGCTTCCACCCTTAGCTCGCCCCAACATGCCTATCAAGGGCTGGAACTCAGCAGCCCTGGGCAGGATCAAGGTGCCAGCAACAGGCCTTCACTCCACATCCACATGCTTCAAAACAGCACACACTACCTTCCCATGCTAGTCTGGACTGAGCTTGTGTCTCAGGAAGGAGACAGTCCCCACCCAGCTCCCAAGTCTCTCCACTCCACAGACAGACTAAGGCCACACAGAAAGCCCAAGCTCACACAGCCCACCAGAGACCAGGCTTGGGCAATGAATCCCAGAATCTAGATTTTCAGACCTGCCCCTCATTGCCTAACTAGACAGTCCTTTCCCCAAAAGCAAAACTACTCCTGTCCCCTTAGTTTCGGGCCACTTGAAGAACTGTGTCAGCTCAAGAACCTGAAGAGAAGGGATGCAGGATACACGGGGTTCCTCTTTAATTCTGAACAAACACTCAGAGCCTTCTTTTCTCTCCCTAAAGAACAGACAGGCATTGTCTGGGGCTGGGAAATAGTTCTGAGGAGCTAAAGCCCAGAGCTCTGGGGCCTCTATTTACACCTCCAGTGAATGGACACAAAGTCAGCATCTCTCCAGGGCCATAGCAACTCCCAGTAGCCCCAGCACAAGGGCTTGGGAGTGAGAAGAGAAGGGGAGGGACATCACCCAGACCATCTGTCCCTGTTGCTGCCTGTCCCCAGCAGCAGGGGTAGAGGGAGCAAGGTGGGGGCGGAGGGGATGTGTCATCCAGCCCTGGAGTCAGGCATAGTCCCCCTCCCACCTCTAGCAATCTGGGAACCTTTAGGAAGGGGGAGAGGAGAAGAGCCCAGAACTAGTAAAGTTTTCTCAGGATGGAAGCTGCATCCTGGGGCTGAGGGGAGCACCTCCAGCTGGGCATTTCCATGGTAACCAGGCTGACCTGAGGGCAGGCCCCCTCCCTTTGGGGGCCGACCATAGGTCAGCAGGCCTATGAGCCCTGGCTCTCTGAGCTGGGGCACCTCTCCCCAGCCAGCACACAGCCCGGGGCCAGAGTGAGGGCCTTCTGCCCACCCCCGACAGGCTTGCAGGGTGCCCAGACTTACCTGGGAGAACTGAGGGGGCCAGGAGAGGTGCGGGGAGCGGCTGGAAGCCTGAGAGACCCTGGCAAGGGTGAGGGCTGGGGGGGGGGGGCCGACTTCAGCTGCTCATGTCCCGAGTGGGACAGGCAGGCCTGGCTGGGAGCTCCACTCCGCCGGCCGCACAAAGACTCGCACGCACGGCCTCGGCCCGCCCCGCGGCGGCCACAGCACCGGGGGAAAGTTACAATGGCCACTGGGCCGGGGGCCAGGGGCCAGGGGGCCGGCCTGGGTGGCGGGGGACCGCGGGGAGTCCGGAGCCTTCTTTGTTTGCAAGGTTTCCCTCAACAATGGCTGCTCCGCTCTTTCCTCTCCTCCTCCTCTTCCTCGGCTCTCCCCGCCGCCGCCTCTCGCTGCCTCTGCCTCCGAGCAGCCCGCCCGCCTCCCCAAGCCACCGGGCCCCTCTGCTGGGGGCACCAGGAGAGGCAGGGCCCGGACTCACACTCACTCACACTCGCACACTCGGACACACACACAGCGCCGCCGGCTCCCTGCCTTTCCTCCTTTCTCTCCCTGCCTCCCTCCCTCCCTTCCTCCCCGCTCGCCCTCTCCGAGCCTCTCTCAGAATGAGGCCCCAAGGCGGGCGGAGGGTGGAGCTGCCCCCACCGGCCCCGCCCCCTCCCTGCGAGGAAAGAGGAAGAGCGAGAGAGGGAGGGAGGGAGAGAGGCAGGCTGGGACGGAGGGACTGCTGAGAAAAACAAAAGAGAGACAGAGACTGAGAGAGACACGGACGGATTGGGCCGAGAGGGACCTGGATGGTGGGGAGGCCTGGGGGGACCAGGAAGGAAAGGCAGGTCGCCCCCGCCCACTCCCCAACCCCAAGGCGTGGTCCTCAGGAGTGAGCAGGGGAGCCAAAGCCACAGGCAGGGAGGGATGGGCGGTGCGCTCCTCTCTGTAGACTCCGGGTATCTTCATACCACCTTCCAAACCGCCCCTAAATCTCTCTTCCTCTCCCCTGGGATCTCTCAGGTTGAAGGCTGGCCTGGGCTGCCACCCTAGGCACCCCTGGTGAAATCCCAGAGCAGCTGGGGGGAAGATCCAGGGGGTTATTTTTGACAGAGACACATTTCTGACTTCTGCCTGTAAACACTGATTGAAGGGAGGAGGACACTCTTAAGCTTCCCTGCCCCCAACCCAGCTAAGTTCCAAGCCCTGACTTCCATCTTCCTTAACAGGAAGCTAGCTCCCTTCCCCACCACCATCACTGAAGACACTGTGGGTGCCAGGGAAAGAGGCCTTGTCAGAGCTAGGAAGGCAAACTTGCCCATCTTTTTTGAGAAGAGGCCTAGTCTGCTGCTGAATCCTTCCCACCACCCCAGGAAAAAAAACAGTTAGTGGGTAATGTCTGTTTTCCAGTCCAATGGGGGCAACCCAAAGGAGAGGGTATTTCTAAACCTTGGGTAGTGGCCCAGGCCCTACTCCTAGACAGACAGGAAAAGAAAAACTAACTCTCTCTCGGTTTCTCTCTCTCACACACACACCCATAGGAAGGGGCTCTGGGACCTCCTACTTCCTTCTTTGCAAATTGAGTGTTTCTCCTCTACTTGCTGCCACTACCACCCCCAACTATATTTACACCTACCTCCAAGGACAGGATTTCTCATGACATACGCACTGGTTAACTGTGCAATAATATTGCACCTGGCTGTGTGAACATCCTCCACACATGAATAACACATCTCACTTTCACAGAAATCAGTACCTGATACACATTTCAACCTGTGGTCTATCGTAAGCTCTAAATATACAAACCCAAACCCTGGACATACACACACACAGTCATACACACTGGGACCTGTAACACTCATGCATCCTAACCCTAGCACAGACCCTGAAACGGTGTTAAACCCCTAAACCTGTGGCACACTATCACATATATCATTTGTATCACATATATACACTGATCATTTGTTAAACAGAGACTTAACCCATAAACCACCACCACCTTTCCTGAAAACCAATACACCATTCGTCATCACAGCACAGCCATATGATACACCCCAGCTTTCACAAACATACTAAAATCTATGACATTTAGTCCGACTTTGCAACATACAGCTTACCACCATGACTTAAAACATTCTCACTGACTCTCAAATTTACAACCCAGGGTTAGCCACACTCCTCCCCCCATTGACAGGACAACTCTTGTCATTTGTTTCCTGCCTTTAAACTTTCCAAAGTGCATTCACAGGCAGTACCTCAAGAGATCCTTATTGTACACAGAGCCAAATATCCTAACAGTGAGATCCTAATAGATCACACTGAGACAGGAGGGCCTGGGGCTGGAACCCTGGGCTTAAACTCACTAGATAAAAGCCCAGCCCTGGGGCATTGCAGCCATTCCTACTCCCTTCCCTCTCCAGGCCTCAAATGACTGTCCACATGGGGGAAAGGGGGGATGGGTAAATGTTCTGGCTCAGAACCCCTACCCAGCCTGTCTCCTCAGATGGGGGAACTTCAAGGGCCCTCCTGTCCCACTGTGGGGAAAAGGGGATGTATCAATGCCAAGATGTATCAAGACTCTGGCATATCATCCAAAACAGGCCTGCTCCTAGTTCTCCTTTTCTACCAAGTCTGTTCCTCTCTCTTCTCTGACCCAATTCCCCCAGTTGCACAGGGGCAGAAGAGGTCCAACTAAAGAGAGCAAGTCTGAGTTAGAAGGCCCTAAAATTGGCGGTGGGGAAAGCAGCAAAGAATGACAAAGATGATGAGGGAGAGTACTCTTCCTGGAGATGGGACCTCAAAGGACAGCAATCAGCCCCAGCCCACAGGATGAGGTACCAGCACTGCCCCCTGCCTGGGCCCCTGGGGCTCCCTGACCCAGGCCTCCAGTGTGCCTGCCCCCCTTCCTTTGTCTGTGCCCGGCCTCCCGTTGGCCTGGCGCTCTGCCATCCTCCTCTCCTGGCTCCCAGCCGCCACCACTGCTGCCTCGTCCCCTCCCCCTACTCCTCCCTGCCTTAACCCTTCTGAGCCACATGCTGCCCCAGACAGGTCGTGGCCCCCTCAGCATCTTGCCTAGGATGACGCCCCTTAGCAAAGGTTCTCCCTGCTCCTGGTCATTTCAGCCCCAGAAGCTGTTCCCCACACCAGGAGCACCATATGAGTTGGGTGTGTGTATGTGTGTATCTTATGCTGTTTTTGCATGTGCATGTGTGTCGGTCTGCGTGTGCTCTGGCTTCCCTCAGTCACATGTGTGGGGCATGTGCTGTCTCTGCTGGGCTGGGGGAGGAGGAGGAGCCCGGAGACAGCAGAGCACAAAGGAGAGACTCAGGCAGGCAGGCAGGCAGGCAGGCAGGCAGGCAGGCAGACAGGCAGGCGGCCTGCCAGGGCGCCTTAGCCCTCACCCCAGGGCTGCTCAAGGTGTGGGGGAGGTCTTTGGGCCTGGACTGCCACATGCCGCCACAATGTCCTTGTGTTCAAGCATGTGCTTCCACCCATCCATGCAAGCCTAGTCCCCTCTCTTCACCCTAACTCCTACCATTCCCTACCTCCAGTCTACTCTCTAGCCTCTCCCCATGTGGTTCTCCTTGAAGTCTAACCTCCATCCATCCTCTGTGGCATCAATCCATAAAGCTTCTTCACAATCAGGAAAAAGACTCCCCACTCTAAGTCATCTTTTGCACCCTCACCCTCAGGCCACCAGACACACAAAAGAAACATGCCTTTTGGGGCACTGACTGAAGTTCTCTGTGCCCCCACCTCCCCACACATACACCCCTGGGCAGGCATCCTCTTCCTGTCCCCATGCTGTTCCCAAAGAGACTGAAGAGAAAACTTTCTCTCTCCTCCCACTGGACCTAGGTACCCAGCCCCAACTTCAGGGCCAATCTCCCATCCACTTCCAGCCTGACAACCTTCCATAATATCCCCTACCCACTATTTGTAGGCATGAAGAATCAAAATTTAAGATTTAGCCCTCTAGCTTGTTCAGAGCCTTAGTTTCTGCTCTGCTCATGTATAGTGATGGAGGGTGAGGGCCCTGGGGTGGACTCAGAGCATGGAAGGATCTGAACAGGGTACCCAGCATGGAGCAATTATAAAGGAGAAAATACACACAAACATGCACACCAAACTGGTAGGAGGGGAGATGATGGGGCCAGGCAGGATTTCAGCTTGGCAAGCTCTTCCCTTTCCTTCTCTCCCCCACCCTCTGCAGCAGGAGCCAGGGTTCCCATACTCAGATATTGTAGGATCCTCAGGCTCTCTTAGCCCTCCCTTTGGGCCCAGTGCCCCTTAAACATCATCCTCAGCAGGCACCTGAAGTGTGTGCCCAGCCCAGCTTGGCCTGGGTCACATGATTTTCAAGGAAGCTACCACACTGGCAGCATCCCTTGGGGATTGGGGGTGGTGGTGGTGGGGTGTCCAGTTGTGAAGTATGGACCTTCCAGAGAATGGGACATCTGGAAAGGTGAAGGGTCCAAACCAGGCTAGATTCAGAGACACTGACTTCCAGGAGAAAGCTGACTAGAGCCTGGAGCAGGAGGGTCAACTCCAGGACCCGGATCTTGGGGATGGGGACAGACAGTCTGTTCTGAGGCTTTCTGGAGACTCTCTCTCCTGTCACATGGCTCCTCTATTTCCTCCTGGCAGTGAGGTAGACCTTCTCCTCCTCTAGGAAAAAAACTCAGACCGAGGCTGTCCCTGGCAAGAACCAGTATGTGTTTGGGGCAGGCAGGGATCAGAGCCTGGGTCCTCTCTCAAGTTCTCACTTTGGGATCAAGCAATTGCTCCCTCCAGCTCACCTCTCCACAAATCACTCTATTTCCTTGCCTGCCTGGGGCTGCCACATTTCCCCTCCCATTAGGGCAGAGATGCCAGACCCAAGGGCCCAATTATCTGGCATCCCCTAGGAGTACCTCCTGTCCCTCAGGAGGGCTATCCTTCCCTGGCAACAGGCAGGAAAAGTTGGAGGGGGACAAGATGGGCCCCAACCAATACCTCCCTGCAAACATGGTCCTCAGAAACTGCATGAGGGGGGTGTCACAGGCAATAGGCAGCAGGGAAGGGGGGGGCAACCCAAACCAGCCAATCACAACACTATGATGACCTAAGGGGGGGTCAAAAGTCCAGAGTCACTTCTGATTGGCTAACAACCTGGAATTCTGAGAATTTCAGCCCCCCCAAACCCCTCCCCAGTTAGCCTCCCCCCCCCCAAAAAAAAAAACCATACACATAAGCTACCCTCATAGCCTCTCTTCCCCGTCCTTCTGGGTTCCTGCGCATTTACAGAGTTGGGAAAAACCCTCCCCGCCAGACGGAAGCCCCGCATGCTCCTTAAAACCCCCTACTTCCCCCATGCCATCGACGCCCCCCAAAGTTCTTGCCAAACATAGGGTGAGGGGGCCGCGGGGAGGGTTAGGCAGGGAGGGGCTAGGCGGCCTCGCGCCCCACTCACCAGGACAGGCACAGCCCACTGACATCTTCACATCGCCCGCCGCTGGGGGCCCAGCCGAGTCACGGTGCCCGCCCCTCGCTGGGACAGGCCGGGCATGAGCCGCCGCCGCCGCCCGCGGCCCCCACTGCCCTCGCCGCCGGCCCGGCCTGGCCCGGCCTCGGCCCGGTGCGGGCGGCCCCTGGCTGCAGCAAGGGGCCTGTCAGGCGCCGAGCAGACAGGAAGGAAGCCAGGCAGGAAGGCGAGCTGCCTCTGCGTGTGTGCGCGCGGGTGTGCGTCCCCGGAGTGTGTGTCCGTGTGTGCGCGTGTGCGTGTGCGTGTCTGTGCGTTCCCGCCGCCCTCCCCGCCGCCGCCGCCGCCGCCGCTCCCCCCCTCTCCCTCGCGCTCGCGCTCTCCCTCTCGCAGGCGACGACTCTCCAGCCACAGCCCGGCTGGGCCGGGCTTTATTAATATGCTAATTGTCCTGCTAGTGGGAGGGGAGAGCTGTGTCAAAGTGACCCGGGCGAGCGCGCCGCTAGCGGCTACGTGCGTGCGCCGCGCGGAGGGCGGCGAGGGGCCGGGAGCGTCCAGGGAACTGCATGCATGTGACGCAGCCTTTTAAAAAGGAGACGAAGGCAGAGACCCCAGAAAGGAAGGGCGAGGGGGAGGAATAGGAGGCGAAGCCTCACACTCGGTGTCGGTCCTTCGGGTGGCGCCGGGTTGGGAGCGTAGCTGAGCGGGAGCGGGAGCTGGGACTGGGGAAGGCGGAGCCAGGGTGGGCGGTGAGGTGTAGCTCTCTCTCCACCCGGGGCCGCGTTCCAGGAGGGTAAAGGGACTGCAGACCCCCTGCCTGTGTTCCCTGCTGAGACCCAAGCCTTACTCTGAGGACCCCTTGTTATGCGTCGCTACCCCAAGCTGGGGGGGGGGAAGGAGTAGTATCCTAATTCTTGTAGCAACCCTCCACTCACAACCTCCCTGAATTAACTACTCCTCCCTTGCCTGCTAAACCAGTTGGGTTGAGAGTTAAAAGGGTTAATTAAGTGGGGTCCCCGCCCTCCCCAGCCTGGGATCTGCGTTTTGCTGGGGGGAGGGGACTGCGGAATGACCACCAGGTTGGACTGGGGAGGAGGGAGTACACAGGCCCTCCTTCAGGCTGGCTCTGACACATCAGTCAAGACACTCTCCTCCCTTCCCCCCTTTCTCCACCCAGCTTTGGCGCCTTCCTCCCCACACCCGCCCTCCCCTCCCTCCCCTCTTGGAAGCTGCTCTCTTTTGAGGGCTTTGGAGACTGAGCAGAGAACAGTAAGCAGACCCCTCCACTGCCCCCAACCCGTAGAGGCTTTGGCCAGGGGTCGGGGGACGGTGGGGGTAAGATCTGGACGGTCAAAGTCGGGAACACGCCTTCCCCAGGGAGGAGCCTCCCAACCTTCAGGCATTCCTCAAGGACTCCCCAACCCAGCCCTAGGAGGGGAGGGGCTCCATCTCCATCTCTTCCCAAAAGCTCAGCCTTAGCTGCCTCATAAACAGGAAATACCTATCAGCCAGGAGGAGGGAGAGGGGAGCTGCCTGGAGTAGAGTTGGCCCCCTCCCTCCTGGGGGTCCCCAGCTGCTAGCTTCCCTTCCTTAAGCTTCAGGGTGCGCTCCAGGAGTAGAAGCTGGGGACCTGGGCTAGTGTCCCCTCTCTTAGGGCATCTGGCCCAGACTGGGTAGGGGCTTCTCCCCTTTGTTACTCAGAGGGAAATTGGTAAAAGGCTGTTTGGTTCCCTCACTTTGGCTCAGAGTCTGCACAGCTGCCTTGACCGGCTGGGGGAGGATTACAGATGTGGAGGTTTAAGTGTTTATGAAACCCCTTCTCTCCACCTTAGGTTTTTGCTGAGGGAGCATGAAATGATGCAAGGATGCAGGGTCTGGGGATTGAAAAGAGGGCCTGCCTAGGAATGGGGACCTTCCTCTCCTGTGCTGAGGAATGGCTGGGGAGGAAAGCTCCACATTGTGGATTCTCCGACCTTAGCTTTCCCCATCCTCACCTCCTCAGGCCATGACTGAAGCCATCCACACTCACACAAGTATTTCCTTAGCAGCATCCCTTGCCAGGGCTCACCCCCTCCCCACATTCTCCCAGGCAGAGATCAGCACTAGAGGGAGAGGGAACCTAAAACGACAAGAATACTGGCTTGGAATTTTGGATACCTAGGTTTGAATTCAAGCTTTGCCCCTCACTAGCTGAATGACCTGAGACAGCTCACTGCTCTACTCTGAGCTCTACCTTTACCCTCTATAATCAGTACCTACAGCCTGATGACACTCAAACTAGATAATGTATACCTCATCACCTAGCCTAGTGCCAGCCATGTATTCAGTACTCAATAGACATTAGTTCCTTTCTGCTCTTTTTGAGATCATCTGTAATTCCAAGAGTGTCAGGATGGGGCTGGATTGGCAGGATGATTGGAGATGGTGTTGGGGTTGGGGGACAACTGCCTTGGGCCCTTTCTCTCTCTAATATCCTTGAATTTGCCTTCCTCAAAACCTGTCACCACTTACCCCTAAGGCCACTCATTCCAAACAACTAGCTTGTCCAGATTCCATGGTGATCACCAATTATCTGGGTAGACAAGGGAGGATTACAACCCATTCTGTAAAGGTCTTTGCCTCCTCTGAATCTGAGGTTCCCTTCTCCTAGATTACACATAATGGAAGGCGGAAGACAAGGGAGGAAGAAAAAGACCACATTTGTTGGCTGGGCGCAGTGGCTCACACCTGTAATCCTAGCACTCTGGGAGGCCGAGGCAGGAGGAGGAAGGATTGCTTGAGCTCAGGAGTTCGAAACCAGCCTGAGCAAGAGCGAGACCCCGTGTCTACTAAAAATACAAAGAAATTAGCCAAACAATGAAAAATAGAAAAAATTAGCTGAGCATGGTGGCACGTGCCTATAGTTGCAGCTACTCGGGAGGCTGAGGCAGGAGGATCACTTGAGCCCTGGAGTTTGAGGTTGCCATGAGCTAGGCTGACACTGCAGCACTCTAGCCCCAGGTGCCAGAGTGAGAGTTTTGTCTCAAAAACTAAGTAAATAAATATAAAATAAAAAGGAAGGCCGGGCGCAGTGGCTCACACCTGTAATCCTAGCATTCTGAGAGGCCGAAGCAGGAGGAAAGAGGATTGCTTGAGCTCAGGTGTTCGAGACCAGCCTGAGCAAGAGCGAGACCCTGTCTCAACTAGAAATAGAAATAAATTAGCCAAACAACTGTCTTGTAACATTTGTTGCATGATTACAAGAATTTTCATAGGATTTTTTTTTGAGACAGAGTCTCGCTTTGTTGCCCAGGCTAGAGTGAGTACCATGGTGTCAGCCTAGCTCACAGCAACCTCAAACTCCTGGGCTCAAGCAATCCTCCTGCCTCAGCCTCCCAAGTAGCTGGGACTACAGGCATGTGCCACCATGTCCGGCTAAGTTTTTCTATATATTTTTAGTTGGCCAATTAATTTCTTTCTATTTATAGTAAAGACAGGGTCTCACTCTTGCTCAGGCTGGTTTCAAACGCCTGACCTTGAGAAATCTGCCCGCCTCAGCCTCCCAGAGAGCTAGGATTACAGGCGTGAACCACCGCGCCTGGCCCTATACCATTTATTTTCAGACAGTACTTATGGCTCTCCAAAATTGTTTTTGACTCTTTACTTGACGATTGTTTCGACACTAGAATGTAGCTCCATTCTGTTCAGGAGAGTTTTGCTTTGTTTTGTCATTGCTGTATCTCTAGTGCTTAAAACAGTGCCTGGAGGCCGGGTGCGGTGGCTCACGCCTGTAATCCTAGCACTCTGGGAGGCCGAGGCGGGCGGATTGCTCAAGGTCAGGAGTTCAAAACCAGCCTGAGCTGAGCGAGACCCCATCTCTACCATAAAAATAGAAAGAAATTAATTGGCCAACTAATATATATAATATAAAAATCAGCCGGGCATGGTGGCTCGTGCCTGTAGTCCCAGCTACTCGGGAGGCTGAGGCAGGAGGATCGCTTGAGCCCAGGAGTTTGAGGTTGCTGTGAGCTAGGCTGATGCCACGGCACTCACTCTAGCCTAGGCAAGAAAGCGAGACTCTGTCTCAAAAAAAAAAAACAAAAAAAAAAACAGTGCCTGGTATATACTAGGCACTCAATAAATAAGCCATATTGAAATAAACTTGTTAATTCACACTGAGAAATATTTGTCATGTGAACTAGGCATTTTGTCTCTCTTGATCAATACACTTTCTTCCCATAGAAAATTACTATGAGTCAGTTATTATAATCAGATGAATGAATCATTGGTGAGCATGGAATCAGACAAGGACAAATGATTGGAGGCTCCCAATGTTTGGTAGCCTATGGTTTTAAGGTTTTCCTTCATGTTCCTTAAGAATGCATCTAGGAAGGAGAATAGCTGTTCACATGGCACTGGAGACCCAGAGATACATTCTCATCCTTTTTGAGTAGATTCCATGCAGCCACCAGCCTTATCTGAATAGATTGTTTCTTCAGATGCTGAATAAAACAAAAATGGCAAAATATTCTGCTTTCTTTTACCTTCATTCTTTTCTCAAAGCTTAATCACCATAATTAGTGCCCCAGACACTGTCATTTACAGAGCATCTTTAAGAGTATATTTCTTCCATAGAGGAAAAACCATGCTATCCGTATTGTTCTTGCTAGTTTCTCACAATCAACTTTATTTCTAAGTTTATTGGAAATAAACTTTATTTTTGGTCCTCATATGACTATTTTGTAGAGAAAACTGTGATTTAAGATTCAGTTTCCAAATTTGTGGCTTTTAGAGCTTATTTGGGAAGACAAAACTAATTTACCCAAAAGATTAAGAAATAACTAAAAGGAGGTTCTCTTTTCTCATAAACTTTTTGTGGGAATCTATCTTGATGGAATCTTCCCAAAGGGCCATTTGGTATTATCTCCCAAATTTCAAAAGCATACATTGTTATTGGTTTTTTTTTTTGAGACAGAGTCTCGCTCTGTCACCTGGGCTAGAGTGCTGTGGCAACACCCTAGATCACAGCAACCTCAAACTCCTGGGCTCAAGAGATCCTTCTGCCTCAGCCTCCCGAGTAGCTGGGACTACAGGCATATGCCACCATGCCCGGCTAATTTTTTCTCTATATTTTTAGTTGGCCAATTAATTTATTTGTATTTTTTAGTAGAGACGGGGGTGGGGGGGTGGGGGGGTCTCACTCTTGCTCAGGCTGGTTTTGAACTCCTGACCTTGAGCAATCCGCCCACCATGGCCTCCCAGAGTGCTAGGATTACAGCATGAGCCACCTCACCCGGCCCAAAAGCATACAATGTTTAACTTAGCAACTGAATTTCAAGGAAATTATTCTATAGAAGGAATGCACAAAAGTGCAAAGATACATGTACATGACATGTG